AAACTCTTTTCTTGTTTGTTGTAATGTAGATTTTGTTGCCTAGGAATGGATGGTTGTGTCCTTTGAGGCTTGTTTTTATGTGAAAGAGTTTTTGTGATTTTTCCAAGAAAATTATCAAAAAAGGAAATTTTTTGAAAAAATGTGGATCAGCGGAAAGAGTTTTTATCACTCTGTACTTGACCTTTTTATTTTTTTTTTTTTATTAGCCCTATATATTATAGTTTACTATAATAGTTGATGTATATGGTATTTATTTGAGAATGTATACAGTAGACATATTACTCCTTTCTTTGTCTATATAAGCACATACGATAGTGATTCTGATTCACTGAATAACTCAAATAAAAATTGTAGGACTTGATCAGATATATGGTAGTAACAACCTGCTGGCAATGATACAATGGACTAGAAGGGTTTTCACCCAAAGATACTACAGAGTAAAATATTGTTCCTAAGACTGGACTTAAAGGATTTTATATTTAAGACGAGTTGGTTAGATTAGAATAATAATTTAGCTGTAGTATGTATTATGTTGCTCGAATAAAAATATACTTTTGTTTTCAATTGATTAATAAACTAACAATTTAGCCTAGCTACAGGTACTTAAAAAAAAAATTATATAATTAAGGATTTATTCTAATCAGATTTATCAGTTATCCTATAAAAACCATACCCAATTATCCAAAACCAGCTTAAAACTGATTAGACTACATGAAAATGGGACTTCTAACCTTCTATCAATCAGGGACTAAAAATTAAGGTTGTACTATCAGAAGAATTGTATGAAGTAAGGCTTCTGATCTAGCTTCTCACATAAATGTTTCTAGTCCACTCTGTCCTAGTAGTCTTCAAAACCCCACTCTCCTAGCTTAAGATATCCCAATCTAATGCTCTGCTTAATTAAAATTAGTTAATAGGAATAATCCGATGCCACAGGTGGTGACAAAGAAGATAACATACAGTATTTCTTTTTGAGATTTAAACAAATAATATATGAAAATATTGGAGGATATATATATTCTGTTGAGTATATTTAACAGGTCTAGCCTAGTGAATTATAAAATGAAAAAGTTATATGAGTACCATACTAACTAGCCTAAGTATTGTCATTTATGACTATATATTAATCATCCATTTACTAGCTAGATGTGTTCACTTTTGAAGTGATAGTAAGTCTAGCTAGGATTGCCACGTTATATTAGCAATAATCTGTATATGTAGAAATGTTTGATGTAATAACAGTAAAATTAAATTGCCAAATAAAGTTTTGCATCTAATACCAGTTGTAGTTTAATACTTAAAAAAAAAATAATTAAGATTTAAAATAATCAAAGTTGAAATTTATAATAAAAATATAGTAAGTAGACTCAAACTTTTGGAAGCAACTATTATATATATAAATTTAATTTTTGATCATATAATTAAGAATTAAAAAGAAAAAAAACTTTTTCCACCAATTCTTTAACTATATACAAAAAAGATATTCACAAAAAGGTTTATACTTTCTTGCTAATAAAGTCTTTATATTTTCATTAAAACAACTTAAAGCTTGTTTTTATTTATCTCTCTTACCCTTTCTTACTTGTTTATAAACTCCTTTAAATAAAAACTTGAGCATCTAATGGCTTGAAAAGACTTAAGTATATACTTCTTCTATTAAAGGCAAAAAGGTTCTAGGAAATAAAAGGATTGACAAGTGAAGTATCACTTCATAGAGCTGGAAACAACAATAAATAGAGATTCTGTTAATAGAGGAAGGCTTATTATTCACCTTCTCACATATTGTTTTATACTCTCTTAAAGTACCTACTGTTTTTTATGGTTTTCTTGAGAGATTTGCTTATCTCAATTTGATTCTGAATTTCTAGTAGCATAATATTACCTGGTATTTAATTGATTAATATGAAGTACATTAGTAGTTGAATGTTAACAAGCTTCTATTGATCACCTCACATATTTTGATAATATTATTGATGATTGAAAGAGTTAATTGGTACTCCATGTTCATCTACTTCTTCAATTGAATTAATCTACAGATCAAGTTTCATGAGATCAATAAGATACAAGTAAAATGTTCCCAGATGGTGAAAAAGCTATTATTTGTTTAAGTTGAGATCTTTCTTTCTTATTATTCTAGTCAGGCAAAGTTCAATACCAAGGTCTCTTTCTTATTCTGATTAAGCAATAAGATCGAATGGTTTCTAATATATGCTAAGTTTCAATCTTTTGGTTACAATTGAGAATGTATTTTTTCAGGAGTCATTAAAAAATATAACAATCAATGAGGATTTCTATCTTTTTTAAGATCCTTTCACTATTACAAAACAAAAGGATTATTGAGAAATTAGATCTTTTGGATAATAGAAGATATATATTAGCAAATTTTTTTTAATTAGGTGTGACTGCTAAAAGATATTATATTGAAACAATATAACTCAATTTCTACTAGATTACATAAGAACCTGAAGTTATCATAAGTTATCTATCTATTATAGGTAGATAAAAAATCACTATCCAAAAAAGGTTAGAATCAAGTGTGTCCTGAAAATAAAAGTTCTTACTAGATGATAAATTTCCTTAAATGATATATGGGAACAAAATCAAGATCAAGAATAAATAAGTTTCTCAAATGGTCAGAAAAAGAAAGGATATTTTAATTGGATATTTCTTATTGAAAAGAAGTCTTGAGAAACAGGTCTTTGACAAAGCTAAAAATTTTTTTTTCAAATTTTTACTTATTCATTTTTTTGTTATCTATTTGGATATTTTTAGATATTCTCCTTTTCATTTTTTCAACTCATCCTTTTGTAGTTTCCTGTATTCTAATGGCTTAGTAAAATATATAATGGTGACAATCTGCTAACAATAATGCAGTGAATTAGGAGGATTTTCACCCAAAAATACTGTAGAGTAAAATATTGTTCTCAAGACTAAACTTAGAAGTTTTTATGCTTATGACAAGTTAGTTAGATTAGAATAATAGTTTAGCTATAGTATATATCATGCTGCTTAAATAAAATGTACTTATGTTTTCAATTGATTAATAAATTGATAATCTAACTTGACTACAGATACTTAAAAAAAAAAAAAGAAAGGATTAAAAAGAAAATAAAGTTAAAATTTATAATAAAAACATAATAAATAAACTCAAACTTTTAGAAATAACTATATATTTTAATATTTATTCTATTTTTTTTTTTCAATTTTATTCCTGTATTAGTTATTATATTATAACAATAATAAAACTTTATAAATTACCTATAAAAATTTTTTTAAAAAAAATTATAAGAAATAAGACCAATACTAATACACAACATATGCAAATTTTATAATTTTTGAATGTATGATTAAGAACTTAAAAGTGACAAAGTTGAAATTTATATTAAAACATAATATGTAAACTAAAACTTTTGAAAAAAACTATACTATTTTTTAGTAATAAAATTTGAGTTTATTTATCTTTGATATAAGAATAACAATATTTTAATTTTGTTTGCACTACAAAAAAAAAAAAAGAACTAGAGACTGAAGAAATTTCATTTACTTACCTATACATTTAATAACATAGTCCTACCTAATTTTGATGATTGTCTATATACAGATCAGTCTACAAATATTTTGACTCACAATGTATTATTATTAACTAAAACTAATTGCAATATTATTTCTTTACTGAAAAATGCTTTGATTTTTATAAAAACGAATAAATGTTATTCGAGCTTCTAATTTCACAAGTTATGAATATAATAAAGGTATTTAGTTATACAAAATATAATGAGAGTTTGAACATCTAATTCGTCTTTCTAATGCTTGTCAATTAAAAGGAGGATTCTGAAGTTGGAATTGGGTCAACTGTTCTTTTACTACATCCACTCGATCAATCAATCCCTGTGTATATTTGACCGCCTCTTTTCGTTTTTGTCTGGCAGTCTCAAATTCCGGTGGGCATACTACAGAGTCTAGGGTAAGAAGAGACTGCATTAAAGTTTCAATGATAAAATGATGCGTGTCCATCAGTTTCGACCTAGTTGCGAGATCATGGTCGGTTGACGAGAGGTATATTGCCACTGATGATTCAAATGACTCAATTTGTGAGATCAATGTTGCGTTTGTTTTTTCAACAGATAAAGAAATGCGTGTTATAAGCGCGTGTTCTTCAGGTGATCCATTTGTTGTTTGAGCCAAATCCCTGGCCTAATTAAAGAAAAATAGATTTGATCAGGAATAAACGGAATAAACGGAATAAAGCACTGGAAAGAAAATTAAAAAAAAAAAACACACGTTGGGCCTTGTTCCCAATAACAACACTTTAGAGGATGGGTGTAATCCAAATGATGCCAAGGCCGCCGTCTCATCTTTCATCATAGCTGTTGGACGTGGTCAACGTTAATATCATCGAAGGTTAAATATAAATTGAAGATATTACATAATTACCTCCCGAAAACAGTAGTTTTTGTCCATTCACTGGCACGCCTGTAATATTCTTCAGGCGTTCTTTTAATTGTTTTAGGGTTGTTTTCTCTAGGGATCCTGCTCCATTCTCTTCAAAATCTATATATATTCTTTCTTTACCCCAACTGACTATTATCCTTGGTTTTTGTTGAATATCTTCGGTATAAAATTAGAGATCAATACTTGCGGCTGGAATAATAGTGAAAATAATAGAAAAGGAGTAATACCTTCCATCGGATTAAGAAAGGGAGCGAGGAGAGGTTTGGCAAAACGCCAGAATACCACGAACGGAAGTGCTATGTCGACTGAAATGTTGAAATACCCTTTCTATTAAACAATTAAAACAATTTCAAACTGATTGTTACCCAAATAGTTTGGAACAAATTACGAAATTCCTATTAGTTTTTACAAGCATAAGCCCCGACCCAAATCTGCAAATATACTGTATATAGTATAATATATGGTTATCATTATTATTACAAAGTTTCTTTGTAACAATCGCATTTTTAAGTTTAATTCTATAATCTTAATCTTAATTTTATCCTTAAAACAGCTTGAAAATTATTTCAAAAGTCAAGTAACATCTTTATTCTCTATAAAAAAAAGTTTTTAAAAAAAAAATTAATCATAAAGTATTTAATAATTGTTTTTTTATTAATTATTTTGATTATTTAAAAACTTTTACTTTAATTTTTATAAAATATAGTTTAGAATAAAATTTTTTATCTTATTTTTTTATTTTATAATTTAATAACTATTTGATAAATTTAATAAAATTTATAAAATCCAATTAATCAAAATTAAAATTAATAATCTATAAAAAATATTTTTTTTTTGTTTATTTTAATTACATTCTTGATTTTTTTAAAAACTCAAAACAAGATTTTCAGATCATTCTAGAAATATAAAATAACAAGATAATATAATATAAGTCAAATTTAGATTTTGCTATAAAAATAAAAATTAAATTATAATATTCTATTTTATAAAAGTATAAAAATTAAAGTATTTTATTTATAAAAAATAAAAAATATAAAAAATATATACTGTATATATAATATAAATAAAATATTTTATAAAATAATTAATAAGTATCTATTTAAAGATTATAAAAACTATTAAAGGCATTTAAAAAACTATAATATTTAATATATCTTATATTCAAAATTGTATTATAACAAATAAAATGAAAATATAAATAAATGTAATCAAAAATATCATAGAAATTCAAAAATTATCAATCAATATATTATTGAAAATAATTATAATTCATCAATCAAATCTTTTTATTAAATATTTAACAATACATATGCATTTTATAAAAATCATAAACATTGAAAAAATTATTGCTATCAATATTGAAAAATAAAAAATTATATATTAAAAAATTATATATTAAAACAACAAAAATCTTTATGAATATTAAAGATATAATTATTAATATTTTATTTATATTCAATAATAATAATAATAATAATAATTTATATTTAAAAAAAAAAAATTTGGAAAAATTAAAAAAAAAAATTCAAAAAAAATTTTTTTTTTTAATAAAAATTAAATTATTTATTTTTTTTTTTTTTTTTTTTTGATAAAAAGATTAAATTATTATTATTATTATTTTTTGAAAAGAAGATCAATATCTTTGATGTAAGGACCAAAAATTATTATTTTATTTTATTTTTTTTTTTTTAATAAAAAAATCAA